CGTGTAATTTGTATATCTCAACACATGCAATGAAAGTATGTCAGTGGTTGCTGTTCTAATCACCAAAATATCTTATTTGTCAATCATCACCCAAACAAAGAGGCCATTTATTTTTCACTCTCCTTATATTATAGTGTCTGCAAAACTTTAACTCTGAAGGTACTCATTAGAAGAGATATTTTTTATTTTTTCTTTTACTTTTCATTTTTATTTATAAAAATGTTACATTATTTTATTTTAAAATTTTATATAAAAATAGTGAAAATAACTATTTTGAGTACAAACTGTTAAATATATGAAATAAAATAAAGATAAGATAGTATTTTTATGAGTAAAAATAAAAACGGAATATTTTCTCAAAGCGTGAGTTACAGTTTAGTATTTTCTGATTCACATCATTATTGTGATTCTTTTAATGACTTTCATTTAAAGAAAAAGATTTTACAAAATTGCTTATCATTATTCTCCGTTTTGCAAAATGATAAAGAGGATTTCTTGACAAATTCTACCGCACCCTCGCTTTTCAAAGGGTTTTGGTACCTTTCATATGTGGACCAATAATTTAAAGACATTTCATTTAAGTGTGTCATGTCAAGTTAAATTTGAAATTATAAAATTTTGCTATTAAGTCCTTTTTATTTCAGGCTGAAGTCCAAGTGGTGTACCATGTACCATGAATCTTTACCATTAGATGCATCTAATCTAATAGCTTATTATACACACTAAATTTTTGAATTTTTTATTAACATAATTTTTAAAAAAATAATTTACCCAAAAAAATTCTATTTACGCAACTTCAACACTTTGGTTTTCAGGTTCAGAACGGCCCGTTCTGATTTCAGAACGGGCCGTTCCAGATGAAAAAACAACACATGAAGAATAGACAAGAACGGCCCATTCCAAATCCAGAACGTCCTGTTCCAGATTCAGAAATAAGACATGTCCAGTTAAACCAGAACGGGCCGTTCTGAAATCAGAACGACCCGTTCCAGATTTAGAAATAAGACATGTCCAGTTAAACCAGAACGGGCCATTCTGAAATCGGAACGGCCCGTTCCAGATTCAGAAATAAGACATCTCTAGTTAAAACCCTAGGCCCACCATACTCATTGGCCTCACTACGCTCTGAAGCAATTAAAAGCCCAAAGGCCCATGAAGCCCAAAATTAGGCTCAATAAGCTTAAAAACAAAAAAGTCTTATACTAAGAGAACTCTAGGCCCACCAAACCCATTGGGCTCACTAAGCTCTGAAGCAATCAAAAGTCGAAAGGCCCATAAAGCCCAAAATTAGGCTCAATAAGCTTAAAAACAAAAAAGTCTTATACTAAGAGAACTCTAGGCCCACCAAACCCATTGGGCTCACTAAGCTCTGAAGCAATCAAAAACCCAAAGGTCCATGAAGCCCAAAATTAGGCCCAATAAGCTTAAAATCCAAAAAGTCTTATACTAAGGAGAACCCTAAGCCCACCAAACCCATTAGACTCACTAAGCTCTGAAGCAATCAAAAGCCCAAAGCCTCATGAAGCCCAAAATTAGTCCCAATAAGCTTAAAACCCAAAAAGTCTTATACTAAGGAGAACCCTAAGCCCACCAAACCCATTAGACTCACTAAGCTCTGAAGCAATCAAAAGCCCAAAGGCCCATGAAGCCCAAAACTAGGCCCAATAAACTTAAAACTCAAAAAGTCTTATACTAAGGCCCATAATACAAGACCAAACAATATAAACTCCTATACTACCAAATATATGAGAAAGGTGGTCATCCATGTAAAGCCCAATTAAAGAGAACCCTAGGCTCACCAAGCCCATTGGGCTCAGTAAGCTCTGAAGCAATCAAAAGCCCAAAGGCCCATGAAGCCCAAAACTAGGCCCAATAAACTTAAAACTCAAAAAGTCTTATACTAAGGCCCATAATACAAGACCAAACAATATAAACTCCTATACTACCAAATATATGAGAAAGGTGGTCATCCATGTAAAGCCCAATTAAAGAGAACCCTAGGCTCACCAAGCCCATTGGGCTCAGTAAGCTCTGAAGCAATCAAAAGCCCAAAGGCCCATGAAGCCCAAAACTAGGCCCAATAAACTTAAAACTCAAAAAGTCTTATACTAAGGCCCATAATACAAGACCAAACAATATAAACTCCTATACTACCAAATATATGAGAAAGGTGGTCATCCATGTAAAGCCCAATTAAAGAGAACCCTAGGCTCACCAAGCCCATTGGGCTCAGTAAGCTCTGAAGCAATCAAAAGCCCAAAGGCCCATGAAGCCCAAAACTAGGCCCAATAAACTTAAAACTCAAAAAGTCTTATACTAAGGCCCATAATACAAGACCAAACAATATAAACTCCTATACTACCAAATATATGAGAAAGGTGGTCATCCATGTAAAGCCCAATTAAAGAGAACCCTAGGCTCACCAAGCCCATTGGGCTCAGTAAGCTCTGAAGCAATCAAAAGCCCAAAGGCCCATGAAGCCCAAAACTAGGCCCAATAAACTTAAAACTCAAAAAGTCTTATACTAAGGCCCATAATACAAGACCAAACAATATAAACTCCTATACTACCAAATATATGAGAAAGGTGGTCATCCATGTAAAGCCCAATTAAAGAGAACCCTAGGCTCACCAAGCCCATTGGGCTCAGTAAGCTCTGAAGCAATCAAAAGCCCAAAGGCCCATGAAGCCCAAAACTAGGCCCAATAAACTTAAAACTCAAAAAGTCTTATACTAAGGCCCATAATACAAGACCAAACAATATAAACTCCTATACTACCAAATATATGAGAAAGGTGGTCATCCATGTAAAGCCCAATTAAAGAGAACCCTAGGCTCACCAAGCCCATTGGGCTCAGTAAGCTCTGAAGCAATCAAAAGCCCAAAGGCCCATGAAGCCCAAAACTAGGCCCAATAAACTTAAAACTCAAAAAGTCTTATACTAAGGCCCATAATACAAGACCAAACAATATAAACTCCTATACTACCAAATATATGAGAAAGGTGGTCATCCATGTAAAGCCCAATTAAAGAGAACCCTAGGCTCACCAAGCCCATTGGGCTCAGTAAGCTCTGAAGCAATCAAAAGCCCAAAGGCCCATGAAGCCCAAAACTAGGCCCAATAAACTTAAAACTCAAAAAGTCTTATACTAAGGCCCATAATACAAGACCAAACAATATAAACTCCTATACTACCAAATATATGAGAAAGGTGGTCATCCATGTAAAGCCCAATTAAAGAGAACCCTAGGCTCACCAAGCCCATTGGGCTCAGTAAGCTCTGAAGCAATCAAAAGCCCAAAGGCCCATGAAGCCCAAAACTAGGCCCAATAAACTTAAAACTCAAAAAGTCTTATACTAAGGCCCATAATACAAGACCAAACAATATAAACTCCTATACTACCAAATATATGAGAAAGGTGGTCATCCATGTAAAGCCCAATTAAAGAGAACCCTAGGCTCACCAAGCCCATTGGGCTCAGTAAGCTCTGAAGCAATCAAAAGCCCAAAGGCCCATGAAGCCCAAAACTAGGCCCAATAAACTTAAAACTCAAAAAGTCTTATACTAAGGCCCATAATACAAGACCAAACAATATAAACTCCTATACTACCAAATATATGAGAAAGGTGGTCATCCATGTAAAGCCCAATTAAAGAGAACCCTAGGCTCACCAAGCCCATTGGGCTCAGTAAGCTCTGAAGCAATCAAAAGCCCAAAGGCCCATGAAGCCCAAAACTAGGCCCAATAAACTTAAAACTCAAAAAGTCTTATACTAAGGCCCATAATACAAGACCAAACAATATAAACTCCTATACTACCAAATATATGAGAAAGGTGGTCATCCATGTAAAGCCCAATTAAAGAGAACCCTAGGCTCACCAAACCCATTGGGCTCAGTAAGCTCTGAAGCAATCAAAAGCCCAAAGACCCATGAAGCCCAAAACTAGGCCCAATAAACTTAAAACTCAAAAAGTCTTATACTAAGGTCCATAATACAATACCAAACACAATATAAACTCCTATACTACCAAATATATGAGAAAGGGTGTCAAGATGTATCTACTTATCTAGATGTATCTACTTGTCAATGTTTCATCAATTAAGAAATACACAGTTAAATGTGTTTAGGGTTTAAGGTTTAGGATTTATGTTGATTTGTGATAATAGTCGTAACATAGATAAAAAATAGATGGAATTGGACATGTACCATTGCATGTATTCTTGTGTGTGAAACAATGAACCTTGCATTGGATGACCCATCTATGTGTGCTCACGTTTGTTTCTATATGTTGACCTATTTGTCCAGAACGGCTCGTTCTGGTTTAACTGGTCATGTGTTTTTTTTGAATCTGGAACGGGCCGTTCCAGTTTCAAAAAAAGCACATGACCAGTTAAACTAGAACGGGCCGTTCTGATTTCGGAACGGGCCGTTCTGATTTCGGAACGGGCCGTTCTGATTTCGGAACGGACCGTTCTGATTCATTCGTCATGTGTTATTTTTTCGTCCGGAACGACCCGTTCTGATATATTTTTCATGTGTTATATTTCATCGGGAACGGGCCATTCTTATTTCAGAACGGCCCGTTCCGCTTGTCAATAGCTGTTTCATCAGTGCATTGGAACATGTGATTTTTGGTAATTGTTTTTTTAAAAATAATTATTTCAATAAAAAATTCAGAAACTTTAATCTTGTGTGATAGGGTGTATGATATACTACTTGTATAAGTGGTCCATCCAAGAATTTATCAAACACCGAGAACTATTTTACAATTTCTAAAAGTTTGTTATGCATTTAAGTGACTTGGCTTACTTAACCATTATAATTATGCCACGTAAGAAAGGTTCCAAAACCCTCCAAAATGCAAAGGTACCAGAGAGTTTCTCTTATTTCTTTTGGTACCATTTTCTAGTTCTTATTTTTTTGTCAGACTAATTTTGTGATTAATTTGAACTGGTCAGGTAACCAATTCTTCGGTTTTTGATCAAACTGATCAATTTGGTTAAATATAATTTTCAAAACATATATAACTAGTAATAGGGACAATTCAACAATTTATTTTCACACATCATTCATGTTCTGCAAACTACATAGCCATGGAGAAAACATGCAAACTAACTAGAAAAATATTAAAATAATGCATTATTCTTGATCTTCTTCATATGATGATACTTCAAGCAGCAGCAACAGAAGCATGCTTGTCTATGGTCACTTGCAGCAGGTCCTTACTAGCACCCACAACCTTGTCCACCAGCTTCCCATCTTTCAAAAAGAGGAAGGTTGGCATAGCCTCAATGGACCATTCCTCAGCAACAGACTGAAAAAACCAATGCAACGCAATGCAAATGTAGAATTGTTAGTAAATTTTAAAGTAATAGTCCGCATAGGCTTTAAACTTAAAAGTAAAATAATGTGACAAAGTTGATTCAGAGATATTTCATGCTTACCCTCAGTTCATCCACATCCACCTTGAGGAAAATCACTTGAGGTATACGCTTAGCCATTTCTGCCAGAATTGGAGCAATAAAACGGCATGGACCACACCAGGAAGCAGTAAAATCCACCACAACCTAGTAATTCATCAGTGTAATGTCATTAAGTTGTCTTATTTAAAACAAATGAGGAAACAGGGTAGTAAAAAGATAATGTCATATATATATATAATTTGTAAATCTTAAAATAATTATTATATTCATACAACAAAGTTTTTCTGTCAGATATATATATACATATATATATATATATAATTTTACATTCGAACTTTTATTATTTTTATAATAATTTAATTAAAAAAAATATTCATACAAATTTTTTTTACAAGTTATATATTACTCTTTTTTTTTACTTTATCTATCACAGTATTCATCTCATCTTTTCTTCCGTTTTTTATTTTTCTGTTATTTACTAAAAAGTATAAAATGTTAGTATATATAATGTTTCTCTAATCTCTATTCAATATCACAAGGGAGTAAAGGAAGTAAGTAATTTTACAGTTGATATGCAAAGAGCAAAGAGATTATTTTTTTTACCAAACCTATGCAGCTCAGGAGAGTCCACATGCAACAGGATGATACAAGAATTAATAATATAATATACGACGAATTATACTTTTAATTCTTATAAACACGACGTTAATTAAATTTAGAATTTCTAAAAATTTTACTATTAATTTTAATTCTATAAACTTTAGAATTTAAAAAATATTTTTTTGTCGTTGCAATGTCAGATGATTACTCCCTTAAACTAACTAGACCTACACCAAGTTTCTACTAAGTGATTACTTAAAAATAATACAGAGAAGGGAAAAAAAAAAGCAAATAAAACAAAGTTTCAAAAGATTAAAACTGAATAAAACTGTAATTACACATGTTAAAGCATATTTCAATATAAAATTAATGTTTGATTAAAAAATAGACACACAGATTTGGGTACGAACCAGTTTCTGGGAATCTTTTCCCTCCTGCAGCTTCTCGTTCCACGTCTCCACCGTGTGGATGCCGATAACCTGTCCCTCTTCCGCCATGTTCGAAATCTTGTGGTATCTGTGATTCCGATTGAGATTAAGAATGAATTCTCTTATACACAGACTCTTCTCTTTCTGTCTTTCCCATACACCTATTACAATAAATTATAGGAAAATCTTAACCGTCCATTCAATGTATATCATTAATTATTTCAAAACAATAAAGGATTGTGATTAATATTATTATTAACTTATTAATAAGACATAAATACTTTTTTTTATATAGTTGTGCAATTTTAGTGGTTTAAATTTTAATTAGATAATTTTAGCCTTTTTTAAATATTGAAGTTGTATAATTTAGTTTTTTAATTTTTAATTATGTAATTTTAATCTTTAATATATTATAATTGTGTGATTTTATTTTTCAAAATATTATTATTATAAAAAAGTTTAATTAATTTTTTAAATTATTATTTTTAATTAAGTATTTGATTTTCTTTTTTGTAAATTTTATGATTGGGTTACTAGAGTTAATTTATGGCACCTTAAAACTATTTAAAAATTACTGTGATTTTATAAACTTTAACGATCCAATTACAACTTTCGTAGAAAAAGAATTTTAATTATAGATTATTTTAGTTTAAAGATCCAATTAACTATTAGTTTTTAAATTTAAGAACTTTATGGTATTCCAACATTTATTTAATATTTTAAAATTTATCAAAAAATATAAATAAATTTATTAAATAAGGAATAAAATCTAGAAAACTTTATAATTTTCAAATTTATAGTACAAAAAATTATATTCGCATCAACATTTAAATAAAAATTATGAACTGAAAAATAGTGTTATAAATTAATTTTTTATTTATTACAACAAGCATTAACTTTTTATAAAAAAATTATAAAAAAAAAACTAAATGGAAGGAATTATTTTAATAATTGTTGATAAATAATTCTGACAAATAAATAAATAAAATGATTACGATTTACGGAATATGAATTTTTTTTTTTAAATCTCCTCGCTACGTTGGAGGCACCTCAGGATAGCTGGTCCCAAGATTTAACGCGGCTACATATACAAGGCAGGATTCGAATCCCTCATCTTGCTTAAGCGTTGATCAACCTTTACCGCTAAACCACACGCTTAGAGTTTTACGGAATATGAATTTGCCTATATAATTCAATTTTTCATGATGTTTCCTGTCATTTTTAAAATTCTATTTCATGGTTGATGCACGTGGACTATCCTTGTGTCCAAATACATTTAATTTCGTAGCAAAGGTTTTGGTCCGGAAAAAAACCTCTCTTTGCATAGTTGTAGAATACAAATGTCAAAGTATACTACTTCCTTTATTGTCTATCATATTAAATTAAGAACTTTCATCTATACTAAAATTTTATACTTTTTCCTTGAATAATATATGTAAGATAAAAATTAGTAGGGAAGTGTGAGATACTGTGAATCTATACTAATATATAATATATAAAGATAATATCACTTTTAATATTATTTTATTTTATTTTCATTTTTACATGAATTATTTTATTTTTTATTTATTTTTTATAATTTTTTTAAATTATCTTTTCTTATGAGTAATTTTTCATTTTTTTCTTTTTTCTATTTTATTCTAAAATTACTATAATTATTTATAAAAATAATTATTTTTTTCTTTTAATACAATACAGGCATAAAGTGCCTTTTTTCTACTAGCATAAATATAATGTAATGAAAAAAGATCAAAAGTAAAGAGAGTATTATATAAACTAGAGGGGTTGAAGTATTTTGTGCCTCTAATAATTATATATAGAATATTAGAAGGTTGTTTGTAATTATTCAAAGAGAATATATAATGGTCCCTAAAAAGTGGAGATCAAAAGCGATTACATACCCACCTTTTATAATAGATAAAGATAAAACAACGTATCAAAAATTCGCTAGTTGTATGATATGTTTTATTTTGGATAAATTATATATATATATACTTATTATAAAGGGGATATATTTTGGTAACCATCCTTTTGGTCTCTACTTTTTAGTGAATAATTATATCTCTTAAAATGAAAAAAAAAATCTTCTTATATTCTTTCTAAATAACTATATGTAACTTTTAATATTTGATTGTGTATAATTATTAGAGGTACGAAGTGACTCGACTCCTTTAATTAATTAATATATATATATATATATATATATATATATATATATATATATATATATATATATATGAAATATGCTAACAAATTAATGATAAACATCTCTATATTGCACCAATCATAAAAACTAAAGATATTAAATTGTTTTTTTTAGTAATACTTGTTTTTGAGTTTTTTTAACCTTTTTTAATTTTAAAAAATGTTTAGAATCCTAACTAAAATTATAATAAAAAGGAAATATTTTGTTTTGTAATTAAATCCTAAAATAGTTAGAATTAAAATTTAAAATAAATTAAAGATATAAAATTATTTAAATTAGATAATCTTAACTAAAATTTGTTATTATCCATTTCCTTATTGTTTATTTACTCACTTGACTTTTGTATTTAATGTTATGTTTCATCTTTCATATTTTAACAAAATGACCCTCACACACAGGTGGTAGTCCTATCTTCTATATATAGGAGAGATCCGTTTACTCTAAGAGTAAGTTTACCAAGATTTATTTTGTTCAATAATTCATGTTCTACATCAAATTTTAACGATCCAACCGTTCAATTTAAAGTTCTTAATGCATAGATCAACTCTACAAATTTTTAAAAAATTTGAAAATCATTTGATACTTCATTTCATTACTTCAAATTGACTAATAATCATAAAATCATTTTATACATTGATTTGAATTAATAAAACGAAGTATCAAATAATTTTCAATTTTTTTTTAAAATTTGCAAATTTTATTTATGTATTAAGAACTTTAAATTCAACGGTTGGATTGTTGAAATTTGATATAGAACATGAATTATTAAACGAAGTAAATCTAGGTAGATTTACTCTTGGAGTAAACAAATCTCTCCTCATATATATATATATATATA